ATTTGTCCTTGTGTGTGTACGAGTATGCACACGAGAGCACACACACACAAACACAAAGTTCATCTCAGTTCTGGGCTTAGGGCCCAGAACAAAAGCCAGCGGCAACAGACTGTGCCAGGATTACATACACACGCACACATACACACACACACACACACACACACACACACACACACATCACCTTTGGCGCCCACCCCTGGCACTAAGGACTGGCACTGGCTCAGCCTCTCCCATTAACCCGTGCAGTCCAGCTGCTGGGAATTCTGGCTTTCACCCCCAAGCTGACCAAGGCTAATTACTGCCTCTGGCCAACACACAGCAGTGAGATAAGACTTCATCACTTTAAGATAAAGAGCTGACAAGATGGGTCCAAATGCACCCATAATCGCAACAGGAGGCCTAGCCTTGCTCTGGCTGCCAAGCCTCTGGCCTGAGTCTGGCTTCTTACTTCAGTACTTGGGCCACTCCGATGGGCCTGGCTTGAAATCTTGTTGGTCTCAGCCTGTGGGGCTGGATCGAGCTAGGGTGCCGGCTGGGGCTGCAGAGTTAAGCGGATCCAGATGCCCTGGCTGCTGCCAGAGGCAGAGAAACGGGCCAGGAGCCAGCAGATGGAGATGGAGTCGGGGTGGCGGAGAAGCGAGGGGAGCTGGGAGCCTACAGCAGCAGGCGCCTGGTGTGGGGGGCCATAGCACCAAGTAGGGGTTAAAAGAACAGTGTTTAGGACCCAAGGCAATGGTGGTAAAGGCCAGTGTGCAAAAGTCTGCAGTGGGGGCAGCAGAAACGCAGTCTGAGAAATGTCCATATAGAGGAGCGGGGTGCTGGAAGGAAGGACTCTGGGCTGGAGGTGAGCAGCAGACTGAAGGCAGTAACGACGGGGTACTCCAGAGTAGAACAGAATAAGGCCTCCACATATCTGTGTCACCCTGAATGTCTTATTGACCCACCCCCAGGGTCCCCAGTCCCATTTACCCCGTGTAGCCACACCCTACCTCGATAATCACAGTGGCTGAGTGTCCATGGCCTCCAAGACTTCCTCCTACAGCCTCCAGCACTGTTTCCTCTCCACTCAGTCCTGGGACCCCAGAACCATCCCCTCCTTCCCATTCCCTGCCCCGCCCCCTCTGGGCCTTGAGCTTAGCCACCCCTAGCCAGGCCCCCTCCTCCCACCCCTTCCTCTTCCCTCCTCTCTCATTCCCTCCCACCCCAGGGCCTGGGAAGGGAAAAGGCCTCCCCCCTCAAGCTGGAGAAGGAAGCCAGAGACACAGCCAGGACCAAGGGAGAGAGGAGAGCTGGCTGCTTCTGCCTATATCCCTGTCGCTAGAAGATTAACTGTGTTTTCACAGAGCCACCCAAACCATATTTACTCAGGCACTCACTAGGTACAGTGAACTAACACACATGTGGACACAATTTTAAAAAATTAACGCACACACACACTCATTCCTATTCTTTCCATTCTCCAACGGATGTTTCCTAAGGGCACAGCTGACTGTGTTTCCAGGGGAAAACAGGCCTCACACTGGAGAATATAAAGAAAGGCCAGAGTCCAGTTCCCCACTTCCCTGGAAGTTCGGGTCATTTCTATTCTCCCCTTTCACCCGTTGGGCCTCAGCACCAGGAAATGCCTTTGATCCCTTGGTGCCAGATATACAAGACTCACGGCTACAAGACTCAGACTCATATTCTTGGATACGATCACTCACAGTCACCCTGACACACTCAGACCCAGACACATTTACACATCTCAGTCTCCTAGTGGTCCCACTGACACAATGACACACGTGTTAAAAGCAACTCCTCACCACAAGGAGCTCACAAGAACTCTTAGTGACAGATCAGCATCGTACCAAGGTTACAAGCCCTGTGTGGCCAGGAACAAGAGCAAACAGGGAAGCCAAGCAGAGGGACCGAGAGACGGCTTGGCCACACAGCTCGGAAAGCAGAAACACGGAGACACCTGGGAGGAAAGCTGTAGGGAGACACAGAAAGCTCTCCGGAAAGATAATCGTGGGGATGAGGCATGAAGCAGAAACTTCAGTAGACCAGGGACCTAGGGATATAGCTCACTTGGGAGAGCTCGCCTCACATGCACAAAACCCTAGGTTTGATGTCCAGCACCATATAAAAACAGATGTGCCACACCTGTAATCCCAGCAATCCCGGGGCTTGGAGTCCATGTGGCCCTGTCTCAAATAGGAGCCCCCAGTGATAAGACTTATTTCTCAGCACTGCAGACGCAACCCAGGCCCTGGCTCACCCTAGGCAAGCACTTTACTGCTGAGCTGCATTCTCAAACCTCCCCCCCCCCCCACCACCACCCCGCAAATCTTGGGCAGGGGAAGATGGAGAGCCATGTGCACTGGGGGTGGATCTGTCTATGTTGCAGGCCCCGTAGAAAAGTCAGTCTCCCTCAACAACTGAAGTTTCCCGGAATATAAGAACACAGCTTCACTCCCACACCGTCTAGGCGAGGACACGGGACACACTGCAGTCACAAGTCTCTTGCTCTCCCACTTCTGACGTCGCACGTTATCACACAGAAACCCAGCCATCCACTCTCACACTGGCAGACCCCACAGGGCTTCCCAAAACACATTCCCTGGTGTGGTCACAGCCCCTCTCACAAACGAACACCCACCAAAAATTACCCACTGACTGCTGTGCCACAAGCAGACACAGCTACAGTCACACTCTCAGACAGACGCAGCCACATTCGCTGACAGACACACCAGACGACAGCAGTTTCGGAGCCTCCACACACTGACATCGTCACATACAGACAGACACTCACGATCCATCAGCCACTCTCCGCCCTTCAGATCACACACCACCCTGCCCCGCCCCCTCTTGGCAGGACTTGCGAGTCAACACACCCGGGTCCCTGCAGGTCTCACCTTCCGCGGCAGCCGCCGCCAGCGCCCTCCACCCTCGCCCTCTGCCCCGGCCACTACTCCCTCCTGAGCTGGGCTCCCGCAAGTCGGGGCGGCTCCTCCAGGCGCCAATAGAACGAGAGAGGTGAAGAGAGGGGGCTCTCGGCCCATTGGAGCCTCCAACTGCCAATCACTTCCACCTCCTCCGGACACTTCCTGTCCCGTCTGGAACTTGAGAGGAGAGAGTACCAGAGTAGGATTCCTAGGACAAAACCTGAAGCTGCATTCCTTATACCTCTCGTGAAGGCCTGTCCTCCCCGGGACTGCAGGCCTGAAGGTGCTCAGGCTCTTCCCCTCCCAGCCGTCCACGCAGCCTCAGGTCCTCTACTGAACCACTGGGCAGCTGACTGCATTTGTTGAAGGTGCCCTGACTTCAGATAAGATAGGAAACGGAGGGTTGGTTTAGTTCTCAAACGTTGTCGAGTATCGTACCTTTAAAACAGTCAGGTCCCATTCCATGCCAGCTAAATCACAATCTCTGCTTGTTGCATCCAGACCCCAGTACTGTTTTTAGAACTCCTCAGGCGATCCCAAATACAGGCAAGGTTGGGGGTTTTTATGTATGCCCTAAGAAACCAGCTAACTACCCGGGGAGTGTCAAGGGAGATGCCTACTTTGATTTCCCAGACCTTCACAGTACTCCCAATCCCAGGCACCCTTCATTTCTCCAAGGTCTCAGGAGGAAGGGCCCTAGGTTAGAAGGCAGGAAAAGGAAGCCAGGGTTCTTCTAGGTCAGCCGTCACTTGTCCAGGTTTTATGTGCGGACTTCTCATCCCTACGACCCAGTTCCCATGGGAAACAAAGGAAGAAAGGCATTCTAGCCTCCCTGACGTCACTCACAACTCTCAACCTTGCCTTAGAATCTGGAGAACACTGCGTTACATCTGCTGTCATAAACTGAAAAGCCTTTGTTCCTCCACTATCTCAAGGAGGAAAAAACCCCAACAGATCCAGAAAGGAGAGGGCAGCCTCTGGGGCTACCCTGGCGTCCTCTCCATGCCTGAGCAGCTACTGTTTTATCAGCACAGCTGAAGCCACATACACTGCACATAGAGGCTTGAGGAAGCCAAGAACACCAAGCCACATGCACACTCCCAACCCGCCCCTTTAGCCCCTGTGGTCTGGAGCAGAGTCTAGCTGTGGCCACTCACAAAACCAGGGTTCTGGCCAGCAGCCCAGCGTCTGGACTGACCTCTGGGACTAGGATTCTGTTCACCCTCTCCCCACCAAGCTTTGAGGCCCAGGCTTGGTGAGCTGACAGTAATAAACTCGGTGATACGAAGGACACTGACCTTCCCGAAGACTCTGCAAAGCTAAGAGCATGGGATTTTAAAATAGTCTCCAAAATTAGAATGATGTTTATATCACAAGAGGATCAGATATAATAGTGAATATTCTTCAGAGATCAAAGGTACAATTTTTTTCCCCAAAAAAACTAAGCATTGAACACAGAGCCTCACATATACCAGAGAAATACTCTATCACTAAGCTATTTCTCAAGACAGTCTCTCTAAGCTACCCAGGCTTGCCTTGAATTTGCAATCCTCCTGCCTCGGCCTCCTGGGTAGCTGGGATTGCAGACCTGCACCACTAGGCCCAGTTTGGCTTTGGTTTCAGAGATTAGGTGTTGCTAGGCAACCCACGCTGGCTTCAAACTCACAGTCCTACTTCAGTCTCTAAGGTGGTAGAATTACAGGTGTGCACCATCCCTCTGGCTTGGGAGGGAATTCTTTTTTTTTAATATTTATTTATTTGTTTATTTATTATGTATACAATATTCTGTCTCTATGCCTGCAGGCCAGAAGAGGGCACCAGACCCCATTACAGATGGTTGTGAGCCATCATGTGGTTGCTGGGAATTGAACTCAGGACCTTTGGTAGAACAGGCAATGCTCTCTTAACCTCTGAGCCATCTCTCCAGCCCTTGGGAGGGAATTATTGCATCAAATCTTTCTGGCCTACATTGTCAACACCTGTAGGCAGGAAAGAATGTGTTTGGAGTCACACTTAGCCTTGCCCCTAGCCTCCAGTATGTAAGAGTTCACACTCTTCTGGTGTCAGAAAACATGGTTGAAATCTGAGATGGAGTTTTTATTGATGTCACAGTTGCCCAAACTCCAGGTCCCAGTTCTCTCGGGCAGAAAGATTCAAGGCTCTGCTGTCATCACAAGTCAAGCCTTGGTTGCTGTTTCCTTGTCTTTCTTTGCCAGGCGATAATGTACCTCAGGGAGCGCCCTTAATCTTTCTGCAGCCTAGAAGGGGACAAGGAGAAAACACGGAGAGTAAGGGTCCCCCAGAATGGTATGGGGTTCTGGGCCCCAGAATTACTGGGGAGTGCTTATGGTATTGGAAGACTGGTAACAAGGACAGCTGAAGTCACAGGGGTTGGGGTTGAGCAGCAACCGAGTTCTTAGGAATACCTGTGTTTTCTATGAGGACCCCCAGAATCATGACTGTTGAGGTCCCTTGAGAAAATTTAGGTGAAAGGGGCTATGAAGACCCAGGATGCTGAGCCCTGACCTGTTCAGGAGTTAGGTCCCGCTGAGCCTGGGCAAGCATTTCATAGCCGACCATGAACTTGCGGACAGTAGCAGAACGTAGCAGTGGGGGGTAGTAATGCGCATGCAGTTGCCAGTGCTCATAGGTGGCTCCTGTCTTTAATCCCGTGGGAGCCCCTGGCAAGAGAAAGATGGAGACGATCCGGAAGGCTCTTTTTCAAGTCTTCAGTCTGGTCCCTCCCCTAAAGTAGGCCAGGTACCTAAATACTACAGTTCCCAGTATTTTCCACTAGGGAACAATTTCATCAAGTGACTCCACCCTCAGTCCCAGCACCCCTGCTCTGGATATGTCCACCAAAAGTTTTAATGCCTGGTAGGATGCAGTTCCCTAAGCCAGAAATAGTACTAGGGCTACCCTACCACCAAAAGTCTTACCATGCCAGCCCATGGAGTAGGGAAAAGATGTCTCAAATAGGTTGTCATATTTGGTCAAGAGCTTCTTCATGATGGAAGCTAGATCTGGAATCAGAGCCTGGTTTTCAACCTGGAAATAGGTGCTGGACCCATTAGGGTCCGTCTATTCAGCACCCAGTCCCAGGGTCCTATGTGGGATCCTTACCATCACGTTCAGCAGGGGTCAGCTCAGGCAGCCGCCGCACATGCCGCCGGGGCAGCAGTAGAGTCTGGAAAGGCCACACTGCCCAGAAGGGGACCAGGACGAGCCAATGCTCACTGGATAGGACCAAGCGTTCCTGGACACACAGAATGGAAATGGGGTGTACATGTAAGAGGGGGAAGGGGACGAGTATCAGGAAGGCAAAAGGGAAGGATCTGATTGTGTCTCTCCACTTTCGCCACCACCCTCGTCTACCTTCCCGTAGGTGACTGCAGGAAGTCCATCCCCCTTCTGTGCACTTTGACAGTCAAAGGGTTAGAGACTCCTTGGGAACACAGGGCCTGGAGCTCCCCCACCTTCCTGAGGAGCTCTTGGTGGCCATATTCCAACAACAGAGGCTTTCCATGCTGGCTGTGAAAGCTTTGCTGAGATCGCTCTTCACGCTGGGCAACATCTGGCAGGAAGCTGCTGGCCCAGACCTGTCAAGGGGCAAGAGCAAAGAAGGGCAAGCGAGTCCGTTAGCGCTAAGCCTCCACATTGCTAATGCATTCCTTTTGATCCGTCCCTTAATCTAGTTCTGTCCACAATGTCGGCATGGAGACTCGGCCAGGAAAGCCATTACCAGCCCTGACATACTGACCTGGCAGTGGGGGTGGGGGTTAGAACAACCCATCATGGCTCCTTTGTTTTCAAAGATCTATTGGGTATAAGTAGAGAGGGTTAATAGTCGAAGAGACATCAAGTCAACCCGCTCCTGACTACACCCGGTGGAAGCAGTAATGGTACTCCCCCCAAACCAAAGTTCTACCTCCCCCTCACAGACCTGCACCCAAGGGTACTGGGCACCCAGCTCCTCTGTGACTGAGGCCCAGGCATCGATGACAGCTCGGATCTCAGGGATGGACATGAGTGGCAGCGTCACATCCGACCAGGGGTGGAAGCACATGACTTTACTGCGTGGGGAGGGGAGACGGGAAGACAGAGAGATAGGGATTGGTTGGTCCAAGTCCAGGTCTTAGTCTTTGACCCTGGGCTGGAGGTTGTAAACGGGGCAATCCATAGTTACCAAACTCCTCTGGCGGCCTCTGCACGGAAAAGAGGATGATCACTGGGTCCTGAGATAAAGGAGCATTACTCTCTGCGGCACAAGTTCCCCTGAGAGAGCCAGTCTCCCTTGTCCCCAACACTGGTTAGATTGACGGTACCTGGATCTGGAGCATTGGGCTGCAGAGCTGGGAAGTCATTGTCAAACAGGAAGGTGCCATCATAGAGTGGATTTACCTACTGACAAGAAGAGGCTAGAAATACTACCACCTGGCGGGCTTCAAGGCCCTACACAAGCTGCTAGAGGGCGAGGAAGGCCCACTCTAGGGATCAAAAATTGCTTGACGGGATATGACCCAAAAAGAGGCGCACTGCTCCCTCTTGTGGATGAAGGGCAGCAAAAAGAGAGAACGATTTCCTCCTATCTCACTAGGGGGCTGTGCATTCGTGCTTACCTCCCCGTTGGCTCGTGTGGCCCCGGGACACAGCGGGTTGAGTGGGTCATGGCGAGGCACTGTCTCCAAAGGCTGAGGCTCCACTTGTCCTTGCCAGGGCCGCTTCATGCGATGGGCCGACACTAACACCCACTCGTCCTGGAGCGGATTGTAGCGAATATGCTGGTGTTCTGGGGACGGTCAGTCAAGATCAATTAGTAAAGCTCCCTGTCTCCCACTTCTTCCCTGAATGGCTCTAACGCCCTAGCAGACCCAAGCTCAGGGGCGCTCGCTGGGCGAAGTGTTTCTAAAGGCTGACGGAGGGAAGTTAAAAGGTTAAACCCTTACAGTGCCACATGGGCCAAGCCCTTCCTTCCCTCGGCCGGTCACCCGAGCTTCGGGTGGGAGTGCCGACCTTGACGTTGGGACCAGAACTTCCTACAGAAAAGGTAGGCTCGGCTGCACGCCGCAGTGGGTCCAGGCCGCCCCGCAATTACCGCTCGCCCGGAAGGTCACTGCCATGGCATCCGCTTCTGACGCCTGCTGGCTCTGCTCAGGATCAGCTCCGTTTTGCGACATTAAGCCACCCGAAATGACCTGAATTCAGACAGGATTGTCCGCTAGGCCAGAAGCACCCTTCGTTTGCTGTTTCTTGCCCCGCCCTTCCTAGATGATTGGCTAGCCGCCAACATGTGACGGGGTCCGCCTGACACTTAGGGGCGGGGCTCAGGACCGCCACCAGCTGGCCACACGGTTTTAAAAGAGAACCCCCTCTTCGTCGGGTAGGAGCCACTTCTCTGGGAAGTGTCTGTGGAAAACTGGTTGCTGTACCCATTCGTCTGGCCATGAATTCAGCAAATATTTACTGAGGGGGCAGGGAAATTTTCACACACGAATGTAATGACTTTTGGTCACCCACTGGAACTTTTCTTCCCAGTAAGCCTCCCTACTTTCAATTCTTTTTCTTTCTTTTACTTATTATTATTATTATTATTATTATTATTATTATTATTATTATTTGGTCTTTTGTGACCCACTGAAATTAGTTAGGGTTGCTTGCCTGAGCACAGAGGAGGGTATTTATTGGAGCATGGACTACGTATCAGCTACACCACTGAAGAACACTACTCCTGCCAGCAACCTTTAACTGCCAATAGCCCCTCAAGGAGGGTGGAGCCTCATGAGTCCTTCCCCCATCCCCATCCAGTAAGAAAAACTGATGAGCCAAATCTCGGATTTTTTGCAGGTAACCACAGTTGCAGTGAGTGCAATGGCCCAGTCATGTCAAGAAGACATTGCTTTTACCAAACATCTGTTTTTCACCATAGCCACTCAGCAGGTGACCCAGGTCTTTGTGAGCCCAGGATGCTACTGTTCTTTGCCCAGGGGCATCTCTATATTCTACATAGAACCTAGGTGTCTGATATATGGTTAAAATGTTTAGTAAAGCTGGGCCATGCAGGCCTTTAATCCTAGCACTCTGGAGGCAGAGGCAGGCGGATCTCTGTGAGTTCAAGGCCAGCCTGGTCTACAGAGCAGGTTAGGGTAGAAGGGACTTCATACTTACAGATGAAGCCTGGTCCTTCAGTATTGCCTGGAGGTGGGAGTACTTCATTGTAACAATACTTCCATCCTCATCTGCAGTCTTGGTTTAAAAAAAAAAAAGAGCTAAGTAATGGAGCGTGAAGTGTGGTGGTGTACACCTCTCTCTAATCCCAGCCCTCTGGAGACAGAGACAATAAGCTTACAAGTTCAAGTTCAGCCTGCACAGTTCTACACAGCAAGACCCAATCTATAAATAAATAACAAAAGTGATATATATATATATATATGCATATGCCAGGCACAGTGTTGTGTTTGCCTGTAGTTTCAACTACTCTAGAAGCTGAGTCAGAAGATCATTTGAGCCCACGAGTTCTAGACCATCCTGGCCAATATAGTGAAGTCAGTCTCAAAAACAAACAAAAGTCCAGACAAGGAAGTACATACTGGCGTTTGGAAGGCAGAGGCAGGTGGATCTCTCTGAGTAACCTGGTCTACAAAGAGGGTGCTAGGCAGCCAAAACTACTTAAAAGAGACCCTGCCTCAGACAATCAAATAAATGGGGGAATAAATAAATATAAAAGAATCTAGGAAATAAAAAATATTTTAAAAAATCTCTTTTTTATGATTTGTTTATCTTACTTTATGTGTGTGAGTGTTATACCTGTGCATCCTGGAACTGAAGACGGAGGTGAGCCACCATATGGGTGATGGGAATTGAACCCAGATGCTCTCTAAGAACAACAAATGCCTTAACTACTGAGCCATCTCTCAGGGCCCCCAGAGGTATTTTCTATAGAAAGTTTGATTTTGTTTGAAGGGAACTTTTTTTTTTGAGTTGTTTTCATTTCTTGTGAGACAGCATCTTATATCTCCCAGACTAGCCTTGAACTCTCTGTGTGAAAGCATGAATTTGAACCCCTAATCTCCCCGATTCCACCCCTGACTACTGGTATTATAGGTATGTCTCACTATTCCATTTCTGCAGGCTACACAGAGGCAGGCATACTGGAAGCTGAGCTGCAAGCATTGGGACATTGGTGTTGACCTCTGCCCTAGAATCCTCGGTCTGGAATGTGAAGAGACCATTAGGTAGAGGGCAGAGGGCATGAACTGCAATATGAGTTTTACCAGGCCAGCGGCTACTCAAAGTACATCAGAGGATGAGGACAGGAAGAGGGAACACGCTCTCTATCCCTTTAGCTGTCTCTCAGTGACTAGACTGTGGCATTGCATTTACGCAGGAAGAGCGATGCTTCAGTGTCATTCCCTAGATCATGCCAACTGACTCTTGCCACCCGTCAGGAACATCTTCATGCCTCTTCTCTCTGTGTCTTTCCAGACACCTCTAGTGGGGGAAGAGGAGGATGGTCTAGATAGGGCCTATCTGGTCCTCTCCCTCCCAGAACCCAAATATAGGATCTCTGCTGTGACGTGAGGAGAAAGTGGCTGTCATTCTCATCCCCTCAGTTCCCTCCTGGAGTCACGCAATGGCATAGGGTTTTCTTTAAAAAAAAATATTTATTATGTATACAATATTCTGTCTGTATGTATGCCTGCAGACCGGAACCATCCGTAATGGGGTCTGGTGTCCTCTTCTGGCCTGCAGGCATACACACAGACAGAATATAGTATACATAATAAATAAATAAATATTTTTTAAAAAGAAAAGGGAATTAACTAGAGGGTTCTCAGTGGTTTTAGAGGATGGTCCATTTAGGAAGGACATCAAAGCCAGAGACTTCAAAACTTGTTTCCTCAGTCTTCCATCCTACACTAAATTTCTCAAAACCAAACAAAGACACCATAATCCATCTCCCCGGCCTTTACTCTGAGCTGCACATTATTTTGCAATGTGGAAAAACCAAGGGGCAAGAGAGAAGAATTTATTAGAATAACCTACAGGCTGTGGTCCAGCTCGTTCGACAATGGCTGTCTACTAATGGAAGGACCAAGAATCCAGTAAGTGTTCAGTCCACAAGGCTGAATGTCTCATCTGGTCTTCAAAATACACTGGAATCCAAAGAAGAAGGCTCTAATGCCAGTGAAGGTGATGGCACTCTCCTGCCATCGAGAGTGAGCAAGCAGAAATGAGAGAGCAAGCTTCCTGCCTCCATGTCCTTTATATAGGCTGCCAGTAGAAGGTGTGGTCCAGATTCACAGTTATCTTCCTACCTCAAAGATCCAGATTAGAAGTAGGTCTTCCCTCTTCAACTGATTTAATTAACAATAATAATAATAATAATAATAAACCCTCACAGGTGTGCCCAATCATTTGGGTTTTAGTAAATTCCACATGTAGTCAAGTTGACAGACAAGAGCAGACATCATGATACGCGTTGTGTAACAGTTTCCTCCTGGGATTGAAATGTCCCATCCTGCAGGAAGCTCCTTAAGCAAGAAGGTAAACAACTCAAACCAGTTTCAGGAAGTCCCTGAAACCTACCTAATTCACTAGGCCCTGCCTTGCCATAGTAAGCAGTAAAAGCTGGGCGTCTCTCTTAGCTAAAGTGAAGCTGAGCTGCGAAGAAAACTCTGAAGAGTAGACCAGTTTCCTGGAAGAAGCAGAAGCAGCTAAGCTGCCTGGAAGAGATTTGAACTGACTGAGTTACTTGGAAACGACGCTCTCCAGCCTGCTGAACTATCTGTAGACTGCAGTGTGCTTCAGATGCCCAGCTTTTTTGAGATGTCAGTCCTGTTGGAGTGGGCTTTGGTGATGCAACTGTCTTTTAGTCATTTTTTTCTCCTGTAAGTAATCCCAATAAAACTCATTGGTTCATCAAATTGGATTTTGGTGGGTTTTGTACTTTGGTCTGCCGTGGGTTCCCTATCTGGGGTGAGTAGACTTGTGTTTTGTGCCTCTCCAGGAGACATTTCGTCACACAACAATAGGCCTTTTTTAACTGGTCAAAGGTGAAAAGAAAAAAGAGGTGTGATAGAATTTCACGGTCTTTTAAATTTTATGTGTATTGGTGTTTTACCTGCATGTATGTCAGTGCACCATGTGTGTGCAGTTCCCACAGAGGCCAGCGTCGGCGCCACTGGAACTGGAGTTACACACAGCTGTGAGCCACCATGCGCATGCTGGCCATCAAACAGGGTCTTCTGGAAGAGCAGCAGTGTTCTTAACTACTGAGTCATCTCTCCGGCCCCAAGAGGTCACATGCTTTTAGAAACTAGACCTGGAAATGTTATACGGTGTTTCTGCTCCCATTTTACGGTCCAGAATAAAATCGCATGGCACATGGCCCTATCTGACTATAGTGGAGATTGTGGAATGTACTCTGATTGCTCGAGAGCAAAAAGAAATGTCGCTGCAGGGCTGGGGAGATGGCTCAGCGGTTAAGAGCACTGGTTGTTCTTCCAGAGGACCCAGGTTCAATTCCCAGCACCCACATGACAGTTAACAACTGTCTGTAACTCCAGTTTCTGGGGATCTGATATCTTCACACCAATTCACATAAACTAAAGTTAAATATATATATATATATATATATATATATATATATATATATATATATATAGAAACGTCCCTGCTGTATACTCCTACTGAAGAATCTGATCGGCATTTCCAAGTGTTTCCTGAATCCCTCCATTACATTTGACTACTGTGATCCTTCATTCCCTCACTTCTGTGTAGAAGTCTAATTTCTTCTAGTTCTTTATGGTTTCTGTTGCTGTTCTTGTTGTCTCCTGTGACCTATGCTGACTCTGTAGCTAAGGGTGACCTTGGACCTTTACTTCCCAAGTTCTAGGATTACAGATGTGTGCCACCACTCTCAGCCTTATGTTGTCTTTTTCTAACTAACACATAATCCTAACCATGTGCCAGGCACTAATCTCATCATAATAAATGTATGGGCTATGAAGCAGATACTTTGTATTCGTTTATTCTATGTTACAGATAAAGCTGCCCATATATGCTCTTAAATGCTGAGACATCTGGGCAGTGTCCAGAGTTAGTTAATTTGTTTAGTGAAACAAGATCTCTCTAGGTAGTACTAACGGGTCTCTTACTTGGACCCTAGTCCAATTTTGCTCCCCTCCAAATGAAGCCCAGTACCATTCTGTGGCAAAATTGAATCCCATAGCTCCCCAGTGGATAAATTTATCGGTTTACAAGGCCTTTC